GGAAGACGGAATATTTTGGTACATCTGGGAGTTAGTATGCAAAATGTGGGTAGAATGGTTGGAGATGGGGATGGAGAATAGCACTGAGAGAGCTCATGGGGGCCTCGTGAGCTGGGTTGCAAAATGTGAATTTCAACCTTTCATTCTAAAGGCAATGGGAAGTTGCTACGAACTGATTTGTATTTGGAAATCATGCTGGCCGCAATGTAGACAGTGGATTGATAGAAAAACTGGTGACGCTGACCCATGAATAAGCTCTACTGATGATCTAGGTGAGAGATTATTTAGCTTGGACTGGAGAAAAGGCAAAGGAGATGGAGAAAAAATTATCTAATTCACAAGATATCTAAAAAAACAAAATAGATGTTCTGGCGACTAATTTGGATATGTGCTGTGGATTGAATTATGTCCCTCAAAGTCCATGTATTAGAAACTTTACACCCACTGTGACAGTGTTAAGAGGGTGGGAAATTCTACCATGGTAATTGAAAGACAGGGCCTTGAACAGGTGATTAGATTGTAAGGGCTACACCCAAGTAAACGGATTAATCCATTGATGGTTTAATGGTGGCCATGGGTGTGGTTCTCAGGGCTTTGAAAGGAGGAATGAGGAGTTGGCTCTATCTCTGCTCAAGCTATCTGCCATCTTGCAATGTGATACCCTGCATCACTAAAGTCTCCACCAAGAAGGCCCTCACCAGATGTGTTCCCTGGACTTTGGACTTCCCAGCCTCTGACACTGTAAGCAATAAATATTGTTTCTTTACAAGTTACCAGTTTCAGGTATTTTTTTTTTTTTTACAAGCAACAGAAATGGACTAATACAATGTGGTTGGGGAGGGAGATGAGAGAAGGAGGGAGAAGGCAGGGACAATGACTTCTAAGTTTCTGGCTTGGGCAATAGAGTCTTTTCTATGACATGGAGTATAAAACAGATAGGGAACAGGGAACAGATAGGGAACATTTTCTCTAAGGACCAGAGAAAATGAACTTAGAAATGATAAGTTTGGTGTTGAGTTTGAGGTACCTGAGGGACATCTACGTCCAATGGACATTGCCATGTCTGTAGTTCAGGACATTGCTTGGGTGATGCAAGCTATGGGAGCAAGTAAGACTGCTCATGGTTACAATACAAAGGCGGAAGACAGAGGGTCTATCTGGGTCTTAGACTTGAAGAACTCCATCAGTAATGTCGGGAGTGAAGAACAGGGAGTCTCTCTACTAACTCCATCTGCTGACGTTTACTTGTGTTCAATCTCTTCTAAATACCAAATACATGTTTTAAAAACTCTCAGGTACTGCTCATTTCACTCCTTCTGTTCACATACAAACGTCGTAAAAGAGTTGAGTACATCCACTTCCTCCATTTCTTCCCAACCCACTCTCTCCTCACTGTGCTGCATTCAAGTGACTGTCGCCACCACACCACCCGACAGTTCTCAAGGTTACCAGTGACCGTTTATTTTCCGTTCTTACACTACTTGATCTCTGAGCAGCCTCCTGCACTGCCCTCCACTCTTCCTTCCCTTCTTTCTTCCTCTGGCTGTCCTGGCACTATCTCAACTGGATTTCCTCCGACTTCACTGGCTCTTCCACTTGTTTTGACTAATAAGAATAAACACAAACATTCTCTGGAGGATTTCTA